CTCATTGATGCTGACTTCAGCCTCCACATACTGCAGGCCCTTCTGGATGATGGAGATGAGGGCAGCAGGGGGCACCAGGGCTCCATTGATGTTGGACTGGCTGATGTGGCTCTCTATGCCAAAGGTAAATGCTGAATGAGAGAAGCCTGGAGGAGGAATGGATCATTTGGAAAGATGGAGTCAAAGTTCAATAGAGCAGCAGTGTATCATATTACATGTTTTAAAGTAGGAAAACAAGTGCAATTCAGACCACAGGTATTTACCCCAAAACAACACTTACCTGACTCTTGTAGGTATCTGTAAACCAGGAAATTGACCTCATCACTGCTTATGCTCATTTTTAGTCCTGGTGATTAAACCATTGGGTCAGCACAGGATAGGAGCCTGTAAGAAAAAACAAAGCAGAGAGTCTTGCATAATTAGGATTGATGGCATTACACACCTTAGAACTGAGCTGAAACGAGCTTTTAGTAGTATCTTCATTACTCGGGTGCATTAACATCCCAGATGACATGCAGGGGCACTGAGCCAGGTGTAAATGAGAGCTGTCACACACGCTAACTGAGGATGGTGTTACACTACGAACTAACTGTGTAGCTCACTATCAAACTGGCACACATGGTGAAAACTGAGAAGAGGAAGAGGTTAAAAAAAAACATCACCCTGCTTGACCTAGATCTCGCAAGTTCAAAACAGACAGGTAGGCAAACTCAAGCGGTGATCTGCCATTTGATAAATGATGTTTCGTTTCTAACTACTTTTGTAGGCTGCAGAAGCTTCCTGGCTCTAGGCAGGGCACCAGTTTCCATTCATTAACCTACAACTGGAAATAATTACCAGCCGTCTTCATGAGGCAGGCTGGGTATTTTGGCTTAAAATGTCCGGGATGGGACTTAAACCTCAGCAATAACAGATCCTGCAGTGCTTGTGTCCGGGCCCCGTATTTATTCATGCAGAACCCGCACTGTTTAAAATGGGACTATGGAAATAAACAAGGGGTCTGGATGGGGGACAGAACCTCCACTGTTTCCATAATGCCAGCCCGCTGAAAAAGTCAACATGTCTCCTGCCACATCCCAGAGGCTGACATCCAAGACCAACTGAACCAAGAAGCCTGGAATCTAGTACGAGCCCTTCAGCTATCCCCGACAAGGTGGTCAGAAAGTCCTGACTGTTAGTGTTTCTCACACTGAAGCACTTCTGCTGGAACTCAGTTGGACAAAATGAGAATCTCTCACAGAAAACTCCTGTTTATGATGAGATAATAATCTTTCTACATAAAACCCAGCACGATTCTAACAAGATATGCACTTTTTCCCATTGCACCAGTGCTGTGCTCACGTTGTTACAATGCGTTGTGCTTTTCCATTACATTTGGTTTAAGGTTCAGCGTTGTTATGGTGCTCTGCAAGTATGTTGATGCAGCACTCTTGCATATCTGCAACTACACTAGCCTGTTTTCAAAGGGTGCCGGCAAATGTCATCCCCATGCAAGTGACGCAGGTGCAGTAAACAGGGTCAGAGCTCGCTTAGAAGAATATGTCGACCGATTCATCTGGCTGACATGAAGTTCAACATGATTGTTTTATGAACATCTGCACTGATCAATAGCTCAGTCAAGAGCGCTGACATTCATTACACTCATGTTGCATCACAGTATTTTCAGTTGTAGGTGTCATAAAGCATTAAACAGCCTAATTAGTAGCTAGGAAGGTCGAAATTGAGCCTAAGCTGAATTGCTCAGTTTACTTTAAAAGGTAGAAAAGTTTAACCTCATCCGGTTAATAGTTCAGAATCACTCCCAGGCCTATGAAGTAGTTGACTGTCAAGCAGCTAGAATGGAGAGCCCTAAAGATATTAAACTCATTGACATTAGGCTCACATTACCACGAGTCCAGACTGTACTTGTGCCCAGGTAGGTCTCACACTGCATTTCTTGTACAGATAACTGTCAGAGAAGGGTGCTCGGTGCAATCTTGTTTAAGTGGCAACATTTTTGGTCACAAAACCAATCTAAGATTGTCTTGTCACTGATTCGTGTTAGTGTCAAGCTGTGTATTCTTTATGATTATTAATACATTTAAACGATGTTTAACAGAGTGTCAAGTGTATTTCAACGTGTGATTTAAAATGCAAATAATCACTGAGATTGAGATTCAAAAAATGTGATTGAAAAAAAGCACTAGTTAATCTTTTAAATTAAAATATATTGATTGGTGTCCATGCCATATTTTGTCAGTATCTCCTGTCTCCATTTCAGCAAGTCATGCTTCGGACATTGAGTTACAGTGACCACCCACAAAGTGTTGTTCTAAGTTGTTAGAACAACAACAACAACAACAATAAACAAGTGAGTCAACATTACAAAGAATTTCACCCAAAACACCCCCACATTGTGCACCTGCAAGCACATAAAATATATGTGTTCTTGGAAAGCTATGAGGGTCATATATATGTTTATTTACTGCACACTCTTAACCAACATATATTCGGTTCAAAGATGTTGTTTCAGAATCACAGTTCCCATAGTTGCACATGTATGTTTTCTAAACAGCGTCTCAGTGTTTCCCACAGGATGACAGTTTTAGCATGGCAGGGACGGCGACGTATGTGTCTCTGTTCACTTTCTTCAGCAGTTATATGAAGTCGGCCACACGCGATTACGTTTTAACAACCGCAGATGATCCGCGTGTAAAGGAGGCTCGTTGCTAATGACATAGTCTATCAAAATGATCGAAACCAACGGTAACAAATGACATCGGCAGCAGCTAATGTGTTCCCTGCACTAAAGAGTGACTGTCTCTGTCTCTGTAGAGCAGTGTGACTGTCTGAAGACTCTACAGGAGGAGCAGAGCAGGGGGAGACTGTCCACTAGTTCATCGATCGCAGATATTTGTACTGTGAGTGAGAGATGCTTTGCTGAAGCAACAGCGCAAAACACAATGTTAGAGAAGTGTGAAAATATTTTCAGTTTGTTATGAAACTATAGCGAGGGGAAATAATAGACTGTGGTGGTGCACGTTAGTGTTCTGAACCAGTGTCACACAAACCTTTAGCACTGTATATCAACTTAGCAGTGGAACCACCACACTAATAAAGTAACTCAGACCAACCTTATGATCTCAAGACAACAATGAAATACCACTGGTGTCGTGTCTGTCTTTCTTTCCTGTTGTCATCGGATATATTCTTACCGAGAGCTCACTCTCTCTGAACTGAAGCCACAACAACCAAGTCTCCTACGCTAAAAACCTCAGCTTGTTTTGGAAACAACAAGGCATGCAGGATATTCCTTAAATTTACAAGCAAGCAAAAAATTCTAGTGGTAACCCATTAAAGCTCTTCATTACTGCAACACTTATGTAAACAACTGGGTTATTTCAGGGTGAAAATTTGAGTAAGTGTAATTTGTTAAGCAAGTTATCCATGTTCCAAGCCTTTTTGGGAAATGCCTAGTATTAAATGTCGACCTTGACTGAGTCATTCCAATACGCCGTCATCGACCTGATTGGATACAAAGCTAAACTACAGCCACTCTCTTCTCTCTATGACTCTTGACACTTTGCCAAAGCAATGTGATTTTTCAGACGGCAGTATAAGCATGCAGCCATAGAAAGAGGCAAAACAAAATCTATACATGTGGAGAAAAAACTATCAAGTCTAACATTAAACAGTGAGATACACTACCCATGTGATCAAGATGTCCTCAGATGCGCATCATATCTGTGTTGTCCTCAGCAAGAACTCTCAGTCCCTGAGAGGAAAAGAAAGAAATTGAATGCACCTCTTTCAACTCCTGAATTATACTTAAATAACACCAGGAGTGGACATAACATCTACATCATATAAGTGATAAAGAATGGACTGTGCCTCCAGTGTGAAATCACTTGCACTCAAAATGATTAACGTATTAGTATCAATAATTCAGCAAGCAAGAAATAAAAATAATTAATTCCATTCAAGTCTCCTTGGCGTGCTTTTTAGACTTCAGACCTTCTTCAATAATCTGCCCTGACTCCCCAAAGTAATGCTTCATTTACACTTTTAACACATTTAAACACATAGTACTGTTTAAATGTGGGTCAAGTACAACAAGAACCATATCGGCCCTGCCAGATATTCACAGAATATATGGATTCTCCATCAGTGCTGTGACAAATTATCTTATAATTAGATTGGACATTTTAGCAGCAGCATATCAGTGAGTGTGAGGAAAGTGTAATGAACAAAGGGGCGTGTCACCAAACAAGAGAAACTGGGTCAGAAATGTAAAAAGCCAAAAACAGCCAGTGGATCTTTGTGCTGAGCACACCGCAACTATCCCTGAGGGGAAGTATGCTTATGTATTATGTAAGGAAATGAAAGAGACATGCCATGATTGTAAATCATTGTAGATGCTTGTTGCCTGCAATAGTAGCCAGCATCTCACTTATGGAAAATGTTTCACCAACTGGGACCAACACTGTGGCGTTTCAGTCCGTTCAGCATGTAGCCACACGCACACACAAGTCAGACTTAGTGTTGTTTGTATGTGACTGCTGGTCCTGGTTCAGCTGCTACTCCTCGGGTCACACTGATTTCGTGTAAGTTAAATGCATTTAAGTTATGTCACCATGCTAATCTGCCGGTAACCAAGTTGGCAAGATAGCATGGCAAGCTACTTGCGGAAATACATTGCCCATCCCCCCACACACGGTGGCGACTGAATGGGCTGCACAAACTACAGTGTGTACGTTACCGACACGCTGTACGAGCAGGAGAGTCAGCAGCCCCAGAGTGTGCACATGAATGGATCCAAATAATAATAATAATAACTTTACTACTGTACGGAAAGCCTCAATCAAATGCCCCTTCAACCGCCAATGCATCGTTCCTATTTACTGTAATACTGATTTAACGAGTCACTGGTGTAATGTAGCGGCAGGCTGACAACTGTCCACATGTCATGGGTCAATAAGTAGATGTACGAAGGGAAAGGGTTTCATCGGCACTAGCATTGTAATGGTTGTCAAGTGAACGAGCATCACTTGCGTCTTCTTCTTCTTCACCTCACTAGCCTCCGTAATAACCAGTTTATTATTTACCACCCATTTTAACGCGGTGCCAACTCTGCACTGCTATGAGCTAGGTGAGGTTAGCTCGCTGGCTAACATGCGAGTTCACATTAGTTGTGCCTCGGCGGCGGCCGTACCGTCGCCGTCACACAGTCCGAGGTTTCTCCAATTTGATGCAAATCAAACAACAGTTAACTACCAAAGTAATGTGATTAACATTATAGCAGTTCCCGTTGATTTTAATAGTTGTATATAACCGAATACAATAACGTTACATTAGCTCATTTTGAAGCAGGATTTCTGTCGAGTACCGCGAGATCGTCCGCTCGCTATCACTCCGACCTGCTAACAAGATAGCTAGGTGGCTAACACTAGCATGCTACGCTAATGACAGTGTTGCTGTGATCTCGTACCTACTTGGATAAAACCTTTCAATTGACGATATCTTCCACGGCTCTTGCGTTCAAGTCAGACCATGTTATCGCTTTTAATCGGTCGCCTGAAAGCTCGTTTTCGCACATATATGTGAGTAACTATCATGAGGTAATAATATTTAAAGTAAAGCCAGGCGGTTAGGAGCCAGCAACGGCTTCAGACACTCGACACAGAGCGCTGACCTCACATGCGAAAATGAGCTGCCTGTAACTACTGTTGTTTCAAACCGCCACTCTGTAAAGCTCAATATAACGATTCACTCCAGACGACGGCGGTGTTCAATACATCCACTGTCTCCTCGGTCGAATACGACAAAGTGGAGTGGGGGAAACTTATGTAAGACTACTAGCTATTTTTTATCAACAGCGTTATTTCAGATGTCCACCGAGCGGAACTTGGATATAAAACTATATCGGTGACTAACCTATTTTTTTTTTTTTTCCAAAAAGCACCAGACAAACAAAACACCTCGTGGTTTGCTGAAGCTTGAAAGCCGTCCTCAGGCGTTGATCAAATATTAGCTCCTGGTTCGTTTGACAGGTTCACGGCAAAATGGAGCCACATTTCCTCTTTGAAACCGACCAATGAGATGGAGCAGAGAAAAATGCCGAGGCCTCTGGAAGTTTGTCCCGCAGCCAAGCACCAGTCATAACAACAGTGTGCTCGCCCATCCCCCACTACACCTCTTTTTTGCCTGTGTGGTCACCACTAGCCCTGGATTAATGACACCCCACCCCCAGTCCTGTGCTCAGTCATTCAGACTGGGAAAGTCAACAACAAGCTTACATCATCATTGCAATCTCTGTTTTACACTGATTCTTGTTTGTTTTGTTTTGTTTTTTTTTTTTTTTTCAAGCTGTATACATAATCCATAATCATATTAATTTCCCCAAATGTCCCTTAACGAGGAAGATAGTCTGAGAGTATTCATGCTGTACCCTCATTTAAGATTCACTACAGTAAAAAAATGGGTGCTGACCTTCAAAATTCTGTAATGTATCTTGTAACACAACGTACCTTGTTTGGCTGTCCCCATTTAAGTGGCTGCACTGCCTAAGCCTTTTACAATGGGAGATGATGACATATTATGAAATGCTGAATTAGGAACCGTTAAATTAGTTGTACAGCTGCAGCAAGGGTGCAGCATATTCAGTGTTTTTTTTTTTTCTTTTTCTTCCTGCTACCACAAATGTAATAATCTCTGCTGGGAGCACAGATGCACACACATCCCCTCTTTATTTCTCACGCTCTGTGCATCCTCACAACCGCAAGAAAACCAAACAACGACCACAACGTCATCATAAAATGTCTGTGTATGTGTTTTTGTAAGATATATAATTCATCTTTGCAAAATGGCTTGGCATATCACCTTTAGCCAAGGTAAAACTGATAATATGGCAGAAGGAAAACATTTGCATGCAATCAGATATTACAAATTTAAAAGTCATTAATTTGTATAGCCTATCTGATTGACTGTGTTGTTGTGTTGAGTGATGGATTTGGCTCTAGCAGACGCTGTATGCTACTGCAGTCCACTGATTTTCTGCCTTGCTACCTCTCAACCTCTTAGCTGTTTGATCCTCCCACTCAATTATCTCAGTGCTCATCTGGCCCTTTGTCACCATCCTTGCAACTTGTCCACCAGAGACCTCCCTGTCTAATATCTTGTGCCACACACTCACTAATATGGAGGGGTGATGGGGTGGATGTTACAACACACTGTAATTTCTTCACACAGAGCAAAGCAGGGAGGATGCTACCAAAGATGGTCTGAATGTCAATAACCTAGTGATGTGGGGCGGACACAAAAATTAAAAAATATGCAAAACAGGTTTCAGTTTCAGTTCTTTTTTATCTCTATTAGTTTGTGTACGGGTGATTTCCCACATTCTGCCTCTTGCTTGTTTCTCCTCAAGCCAAGAGAAACAGAAATATGTGCTCCATCACTCCCACATTGTGATGTTGTTTTGGCTGCCAGTGAAGAAATGTGAAGCAAATTCCTCATCTCCAATGCCAGGCTTTACGCAATATATGATTCACTCTACGGGCAAATACTGTGAATTGACTCACCTCTTCTCTGTGACTGTAAATCCTACTCATCCTTTTTTTATATACAGTGCATGCACATACTCTTTACTGTACATTAATAGCAAAACACGTCAACATTCATGAAAATCTCCCAATCCTAAATTATGTTTATGTGGTCCTCCTTAAAAATGAGATGAGCACAGTTTCCCTCCATAAATGTGAGACTAGAAGGAATACAGCAGTATGGTTTCTGTGTGGGGGCGGGGAACTAATCTGCAGGACAATAACACGAGGTTGCTATGGATGTGAGCACAGCGGCAACACTGATGAATATGTGCTGGACCTGTTGGCATTGTGTAATTGCCTAGATACTGCCACACAAGTGGCAGCAAGCTTTATCAACAGCCTTAGCAACAGCAGTACTGCCTTTTCATTTTTGTGAGTGTATGTTTGTGTGTAAAGAAGAACAGGAGATTAGTGGCTACATCTAAGATAAAGACACATGGAATAAGATTTCCATCTTTCTTGAAGAAAAGATTGCAAGCTAGGAATAATAACTGGATATCAGAAGCTTGTAAACTCCCTCAAAATGAGTAGTTCTTACTTGTGATTAACTGTTGCTTGTGTACACAGACTAGGAAATCTGACAAGTTTGATTTGTGTCTTTATTTTGCGGATACAGATGTTTGTAATTTCCTACGTTTAAGGCATTCATCACAAAGATCCAAAGTTTGATGAAAAACATGTTCACTGGAGAGTCCCAACCCTCAGACTGGGGCCCACTGTGTTATTTCTTTCAGCAGATGCACAACAGCACAGGTGACACTCCTTATGCTGTATGTTAAATAACAGCAATTCAAAAATAGGATCAGACCAACCTGACCCTAATAGCTGTTACACATCAGAGCTACAAGTCACCTCACAAGCATTATGAGGATGATGCATTATTCCTGTGAGAGAGTGAGCGACAGAAAGAGAGGGAAACGGAGCAAGAGAAGGGACTGCAGCTCAGCTCCACTGCCTGCTCAGCAAGAGCTATTTTTAGATCCCGAGAAACAAAGAAGCAGAATCGCCTTTCATCCCCACTGTAACTATGCCGTTTCACCTCCAAATGTGGTACTTGAAGACAGTCTGCACTTCTTTGTTGCTATGTTTAGGCCTAACCTCAAATAAATACGAACGCCTTTCCATCTGCCCTTGAGTCTTTTTTCCTCATCCTTGTGCACGTTTTCCTTGCTGTTGGTTTTGCAAAGCTACATCTAAGGTCAGGGTATAATTAAAGGGAAAAGCATCTCAGCTATGAGGCTGGAAGGAGCTCTGGGGTTCTTCAGGGAAATTGTCTTATATTATACTGTACTCTCTGACCAGACGGGGGCCTGGAGGAGGCAGTAAATGCAAAGTGGTGAGCAGTTGCCACTTCTAGCAAAATCTGATCTGATGCTGCTGCTATAAGGGACAGACTTTCATAATCACATGGGCTGAGGAGGATGAGTGAAGACTGCAGCCAAGCTGGCTCATTAAATGGGGTCTGCAGAGGAAAATCCCCCAGCTGGTCGGATCAGTACTGTCATGGAAATCACTGCCTACAGAGAAGTCATAGCATTAGAAATCTACAGATTAAATTGTCTGGGAAAATATGTAATACCACATATTACATTTTTTTTAAATAAACATGCAAAGCAGAGTTTTTGTTTATAAAAATGTGAAATAAAAAATAAAGATTTGTGCATATCATATGCAATGCCGACCCCAGATTTTTTAGCCATTTTGTTCCCTTTAGGAGGCTCATTAAAACTACCAACACATGTTTACAGTGTTCATTCTGACTATATTTTAACGTGCATTTTTACACTTGTGATTTTACAAATTAAAAGCATCACTCCAAAAAGTCCCTGGCACTCAATGTGATCTTTTGTTTGTGATCAGTCAAAGAGGAAACCCCCACCCAATTTATCTTTCTCCAGTTTCTGAGGTTGCAGAGACACCTTGTGGCAGGACGTGGCAGAATTTGTTCACAGTGTTTGAAACAGTGGCCTTCAAGTTGCCTATACATACTGTACATTTGTGACATGGAAAGGCGTTTGAAGTGTTTGAAATAACTGCTGCTGAATTCCTCTGTGGATGCGCAGCAGTGCCTGTAACAAACATAGCGACAGACCCACAGTCGAGCCGGTCGGAGCCAGTTATTTGGAGGCACAGTGGAGATTCATTGTGCTGGACCAACTCATTTCAAGCATGACAACATTGTACAAGGAACTCATATTACTAACACAGGTATGACAGGCATTCTGTTCACTTGGGCTAAGAGTTTAAATAAGAGGTAGCCAGCTGCTGTCCCTGGGAGCCCAAACCACTTTGGAAAGCCACTGCTGACAGTTGCAGCCCAAAGTCTGGATTATTATAACAACACATCGACAAGAGGTAGGACTTCACAGATTGTATGTATTACCACTGCTATTTCAACTCAGCACACACCAGTCACACACAAAAGCGACAGCTTATTGTAATTTGGATGTGCAAAGACAAGAGATTATTACAGGCACCACAAAGAAACAGTGAGTGTGAACACAGATAGCAAGTACATGTACCATGTGTCAAAAAAAGGATCCATCAAACAATAGAAGGTCAACACACTGCACATAGCTGGAAATACAAAAGATTTTTAATCTCATACATGTGAAATGGATTCATACAGGCTCAGACTGAGATACAATGTGGGCTTTTTAGATTGATCTGCAGTATAAGATAGCTTTGGAAATTGCACTTCTTACAGCCTGTTTTTTATTGATGTCTTAATGAGTCTTAACTGGATAGTAATGATGGGAACGTGCTGTTTCGCCCCTCTGTGTTTGAACAACAAGACTGGGTTTTGACATTGTGTGCAATAATGAGAACTGCATGTACAGTTTGAAACATGCAGCTTATAGTGCCCTGCTCTGTTTACACTGTGTGTGCACCCCAGGTAAGTGTTGACTGCTCTGTTAGACTTCTGTGGGGTACTGTGCAGTGGAGCATGTGACTTTTTAAAGGCACCAAACAGGACACCTGACAGGGAAGCAATAATCACTGGAAGGACAAGGCAAAAAATACATCCTGAGACATTCTTTATCAAAGAGCGTGTTGATAGCAGGCCGGGCTTTGAATTCCTCTGTG